TCCTCTCCCATCTGAGGGAACATCAGCTACGGTGAGTTCAGTTTATTTGGAGGAATATCGGGTTCAGGGGAGGTTGAAACTAAAATAACACGTAGACATTCACATGTCTTTATTGAATTTGTTTTACCCCCAGCATACTGCACTTTCCCTCTTTCTGGGAAGAGATTGACAAACACGGACTACCATCGCCTTTTTTTAAATAGTATATTATAAGCACATTTTTAGAAATAGAATTTTAGAATTTGCCTTGTAGCTAGGGGGGTACAGCTATAAAAAAATAAATAAAAAAGAGCCATCTTTACTCTCCAAGGTAACGGAGTTAAGGTGTCCTCTGAAATAGATGAGCTGGTCGCCTCGTGAGGGGAAAAAAAAAAGTGTGTGTGATAAGTTGCAGGAGTGAGAAATGTATCGAAGACGTGCTCGGAAACTGAAAAGCTGATGTCCTTCTCCCGTGTGTGTCTCAGGTCGATGTGTACCTCAGCCAGGTACGAGAAACACGAGGCCAACCACATCCTGTTTTAGTAAGTACACCCTCTCTCACTCCAAGCAGGAAACGCACCTGCCGTGATCTGCTTTATTTCCTCTGTTTGTATTCCCTCGCCTTCCACAGCATCCTCCGCATTAGCAGTAGTTATCCACCGGCAGGAAGGGTTCAGCGGGGGTGAACGTCTGAGCAGGGAGTGCACTGTTAAAGATAAAAATGCCCAATGGCCATAGTTGCTAAATTATGTCAAGTAAGCTTTCCAGTGATTTATCTATTTTCTCCTAAACAAATGCCGATTTTGTTTGTTCGGATAAGAATGCACGAATGTGCCGTGAAGCCGTTGGTTCTTTGCGGCCTTGCATCTGAGTGATTGGCTCAGTTGCCATGGTAACAGAGCAGCTGCTTTTTAAAGCATTTAAAATATTTATGACTTAAAAACATCAGCAAATTTCCCACAAGTGCTCCAAGTGCATTTATTGATTGAGGGAAATCGCTGAGTTTTGCTTATCAGTGATCCCGGGCTTTCATTATTCCCCGTGGAACGACCGGACCTGAACTTTTCCAGTAACTCTGGGCCGGTATTCCACATCAGCCGTGATCAATTCGAGCCCGTTTCTGCCTGCACAGCTTCATATCCTGGAGGCTGGTGGGCTTCCTGAGGAATTGAGGAGTCCATCTGTCGTGGTCAGATGTCCTGGCCCATACCATGATACTGCCACTCATTTCCTGAGATTTCCTTTTTCTGTGCCATAATGCGTCCAGACACATTTGGTCTTTATAGAAAACACGACTGGCACTGAAAGCCTGATATTTTTGGACTGATGGGCAACACCACACGTCAGTTTCACTTTCAGATTAACTGCAAGTCCTGGTTATTCCCGTTACTCCCGTTTGTTTGCATACATACATTTTTCTGAGTGGTTTATTAACTTTCAAACATCATATTAGATACGATCTGATGGATACTATTTATATAGATGCTGTTAGTCAAGACACAAAACTTTAAAAAAGCTCTTAATGTCTCTTAATTTCCACTAAGCATTTAATAAAAGTGTCTCAACAGTGACTCATTTGGCTTCATTTGCCTTAATAATAGTTAAAGATACCATCTGCGTAGCTTATTAATCATTTCCTTCAAACTCTTCTGCATCTGGAAGTGTCGTCAAGGATACAATCATGTGGACGAAAGCAAAGAAAGTTGTCTTTACTTCCCGTTTTCTTTTCTTTTTTAATGAATATGAAGGAGTGGAATAGGGAGACACAGAGGTTAGGAATTTTAGAGAGTTGAAATGAAAGCAAATGAAACCCTTTAAAATGCGAGAAAAGGTCACAGAGGAGGAGAGAAAACAAGATGTGAATGTGCTTAAGAGGAGGAAGGAGGAAAGGACAGCAATGTCAAGAGAGGGAGGAGAGATGAGAAAATAAGCAGAGGGGAGGAGAACACAAGGTGGAAGAGGGATGAGGGCAGCTCAGATGTGGAGGAAATGGTCGAGCTGGAGGGAGGACAGATACAGATGGAGGAATGAGAGAGAGGCTCAACTTGCTGCTGATGAATTATCGCGCGCGAGCGGAATCACATCTCCAGTCTCAGACTCTCCGTAATTAAGCATCAGATAAACACAAACATTCCCTCATTTTCTGTCTCCGATGCGCGCCCTCCCGCCTCTCCTCCGGAGACTTAAGTGTCTTAACCCAGACCAAAGAGGCTGCCATGTTCAATTAGTCTTCAGTTACACTCCCAGACTCACACGACGCTCAGGCATCAGATGAAAGCAATCAAGGTCTCTTCAGTGAAGCCCCGGTAGCAGTAATCACATCGGCTCAGCTTCAATCCAGCAGAGTTAGAGCAACTTCTGTAAACACAATTACATCATTGTTCTTGCGGTTTGACACTTTTTATGAGATAAATGGGGGGAAAAAATGAAAATGGCAGCATGTTTGATAGGGGCGGACGGCTCAGACAAGGCCGTAACTCATGTTTAAAGGGTTGATAAATAAAGGTTTTCCCAGTTAAAGCGAAACCGGTGTGAGAAGTCATCCTCCCAACAGCAGAAGCTTTCAGGAAATGGATTCCATCCGTTTCTGGATCGGACTGACTTTGGTTTCTTCCTACTCTCGAATGTCACATGCCTGTTTTTGATGTTTACAAATGAGAAAAATGTCTATATTCGGGCTAATTTATTATTGTTTTTTAATTAAAAACTAGGTAGTCTTTTTTCTTTTTTTTTAAATGGTCACAAAGTGTAGGCCAGTGTTTGACACCTTCTTTTTTCTGTCTGTTCCAGCCCAGACAGCATCGCCACTTGTTGGTACATCCTGCTCTCAGGATCGGTCTTTGTGAAGGAGCACATGTACCTGGCAAGGTGCTGGTATGTACCGACACACACAGACACACACACACACACACACACGGGGAAAAACAAAAAAGCGAACACATTCATGATGGGATGAGACAAGGAGGTGTCACAGATACTGAGCAGATGTGGGGTTTGTCTGACATGGCACGTGAAGCAGCTCTCTCCTGGCAGCTTGTCTGATGGATGACAGTGTGTGTGTGTTTGTGTGTGTGTGTGTGTGGGAGAGAGAGAGAGAGAAGGACAAAACCTGTGTACGTCTGTCACCAAGCTGCAAGTGATGAAAAGATGGGTTATATCCAGAGGCTGTTAGCTCGTGCTGAGCAACACTGAATGTTTGTCACATCTTTAATCCTTCCACAATATTTTTCTTGAACCTAAACTGCTTAAATGGGGGGCTTTGGGGGGGGGATTATCAATGACTCATAAATCACCTCAGGTGGAAGTATAGATATGAAAGAACAGAGCTAACATCATTAGTTTGGCTACTATGGTAGGAGGAATCTTTTTGTGACGTTTTTCAATACAGCAGAGCTGAGGAAACCTCTGGCTGAACCCCCTATTTGCATGTTGGTGTGAAAATGAATTAAATACATTCGGCGGAACGATGAGACCAGCTTCTGAAAATTCAGCTTTTTTTCTCACCTAAAAGAGCACTTACCTCGGGCTGTAGCTCCCGGTCACAGGCCATGGAGGTATTTCCTGGAAATCTGCTGTCGTTATGCCACCTTCCTAGAACTGGCAAAAATATGGGAGAAAGACTATGGCGGGGTGGTGGATCATAGCGCCGAATCGGATGAAGTGTGAGCTGTACCGGATCGTTATCCCCCACCCCCCACCCCAACCCGGAGGTTCCAGATGTGGGGGAAAAAAAGTCACATTATAACAAAGTGCTAGGCTGTGCTCTGCAGACCAAAGAAAATCGCCAAAAACCACTCGGAATACCTTTTTTTTCTTTTTTTACCTGGAGTCTTGCACCTGTTTAAACACTGGAATTCGTTTCAGTGGGAAGAACTGTGGCAGCCTGTGCCCCAGCTCGACCTTCAGCTCCACGTTTCCCTTCACCCCGTTGTTTTAGTTGGACGGAAACGGAGGAAACCCGTGCCAGAATGTTTTGTGACTCCGTCAGACGTTCTCGGCTCTCACTCTGCAGATGCCCCCCACCCCTCCAGACCGTTAGAGGGTTGTGGAGGAAAAATAAACAGATTAATCTGAGCTAAACCAGAACGAACTTCTGGTCATTTCCAATTCGATTACACAATAGGATTAGATATTCAACTACTTTAAGATGTTAAATTCCCCTAAAGAAATGTAGGGACATTTTCCGTTGACATCTTTCAAACCTGATTTCCACAGGGTTTGTGTTTGTCTGATGAAAACAAAGTGGAAAAGGAAAAAAAAAACACCTGTGTATTCGCTGATGTCCGAGTTTTGTTTTCAGAGGTAAAAGGAACGATCTGTAATGACTTTGCAGCAGTTTAAGGTGGATGTAGGGGCTCCATTGCCACTCTGCAGTGGTCTGAGTGCGGCCGGTTCGAGGACGGGCCCACTTTTGGTGGGGGCTACCGCTGAGACAATGGGGGCTTGTTTTCTGGGCTGGGTGCAGCCACGGGTTCCGTCTGTCATTAAGGTAATAGAAGCTCCATTCCACATTAACTTCCCTTGTTCTGAAGTGCGTTTGCAAACTCAAAACTGCTGTGTCTGCTCCCCGCTGTTGCTAAGCTCCGAGAGACGGGGCGGTGGGAAAAGAGAACTGAAACAGAAAAGCAGCTTAACACAGGGCTCGGCACTCAGCATTTTAGTGTGTTTCAATGGTGAACGGCAACGATAACACAAACACCAGCTGACCGACAGTAGCAGAGGGAGTGGAAGGGCCATACATCAATAACCTCAGGGCTTATACGTGTGTGTGTGTGTCATTCCAGCATGGGTCAGTTGATAACTGAATGAAGGGTGGGGCGGGGGAAGATCAGTGCCCTGCAAGGGATCACAGGGCGTGTGTGTGTGTGTGTTGGAGTACTAACAGCAGCAGGGGGTTTGGAACGGGTCACAGAGAGGGAGCCGATGGAGGGGAGGTCTGTGTGTGTGTGTGTTTGTGTGAGTGTGAGGAATGCGGAACCCCTGGCAGAGCAGTGGATGGCCATGTGTTCCTGAGCAGCCTGCCCGCCTGAAGCCCATAAGCACATCCAGGCAGGAAATGAGTAGGCTCCACACTCTCTCTCTCTCGCACACACACATACACACACACTTTGTTGGAGCCAGCAAACAGACGGACAGAAGTGAACAGAGGGAGAACACACTCCTTTCCCTCGGCTGAAGTCGAGCCCGGTTGCCTGGTTGCTACTTCTTCTTTCTGAGGAAACTTCTTACTAAGCTCTCTTAAATCAAAACCTGGATTGCTTGTCTCAAATATGGACTTTTCCTCCTACTCATTCTGGATAATATGCTGGATGTTGGAAGAAATTCAAAGAAGCGGACCGCCGGTTTTCCCATTCCTGGTTGGTAATCTGTTGTTTATTTTGGCTTCCGTCTCTTTCTGGGTGACAGGACATCCACTTTGGAGTGTCCAATAGCAATGGGAGGCTAAGATTTTTCAAAACTCCCTCCATGCGTCTTTGTGTGTCCTCCAGCCCGGCATGCTTCATTTCCTGCCTGCCTGCGGTCACTGAAACGACTGGATAGCCAGAAAATCCCCATGGCACCGTGGCGGGATGACTTCCAACTGCCGGGCCTCTTAGCTCTGAAAGCACAGCAGCAGCTCCTGTGCTGTGCGGCTCTTTATCTCCCCTGATTATCTTAAAGAGAGGCAGCTTCTCTCGTTCACAAAACAGCCACCATCAGACACATATGAAGCGTGGGGGGTCATTTTGAATTAGACTGTACATTTGTTTTTACCAGTTTAATTGAATTTGTGGACACAGAGAGAAATGTTGTCCTCATTCTACTGGGGAAAATCAGTGCAGAGAACATATCTGGATGTTTTTCGGCCTTATACTTCCTCAAAGCCCCCACAGGGCTCGTTAACGTCTCAGCGTTTGTCCGCTTTTTCTGGTTTTAACCGGAGTACGCTGAGAGGTATTTTGGCCAATAGCTGCTGACGCTGGGCTCTTTCTCTCACATCAGTTGTTTGCTCGCGTGCCGGTGGTCCGGCTAAAAAGAGCCGGCGTTGTTTGTAGCGTTTACGAGTCAGCAGAGGTCAGCTGCAGCCGACCGGCAGCAGGTTTTTGTCCCTCAAAGAATGCCGGACTCGCCCACCTTTCCCCACCGTGCAACAGCTTCCAGCAAAACCCCGCCTTCACCAATCAAACGCACGCAGGCAAACATTCCTGCTGGTTCGTGTTGCCCGTCTGCATTTTTAACACTTGTCTCGGATCCTTTTTTTGTTTTTTTTTGTCCTCCTGTGGAAACTTTTACTCTTTGTAGACTTCCTCATCATTTTTTAGGGAAACTGCTTTCATTGCTGGATGTAATCTGCTCCGTTTGCCAGGTTCTTTTCCCCAAAATCGCCATGAGACACAGTAGCACTGTGTGGAACGAGTGAATGCGTTAGGCAGCCGAGGGCTGCCAGAAAGGTAGGTTAAGGTGCTATGCAAAAAAAAAAAAGTTCTGTGATTGGAAGCAAAACATTTTTAAAAAATGAAAAAAAAAGAAGGACGTTTTTCATGTTGAACAGAAAAAAAAAGTTGGATTCTTTGTTGTTTCATAGTTAATAAACTTATTTAGTAATGACTCCCTCTCTGGACACTTTTACCTTTAGAGAGATGTTTCCAGCTGTGTCTGACTGCCATCACATTTAATCATTTTCAACAAAAAGTAACCTGTTCATTTTTTTATCAATGTTACCATCCTTTTTGTTTTTGGACTTTGCCACATGTCTGGGCTTTTTCTTGATTTAGCCACCACATCAGTGTGAATGTGTGTGTGTTTGTGTGTGTGTGTGTGTGGCCTAGCTGGTGGTCACGGTTTATTGTGAAGGGGGGGCGCCGCAGCTGTCAGTAGACCGGGGGCGAACCTGTTCTCTCCCCTTTTTCTGCGCCTTGTTTTTGCAGAAAAAGAGGAAAAAAGAATCACCACCTGCCGACATCCTGCAAGCTTCACTAGCAAGACAGGAGCGTTGTTCGTTGTTCATTCCAAAGAGAGATGGTTTATCTGTGTGTGTGGCGGGGGGCGGGGTGGATCCCTCTATCAGATGTGGCTGTAAGAGCGGTGTGTTATTCCATGTTTTTTTTACAGACTTGTTAACGATAGTTGGTCAGTTACACAGAAACTTGAAAGTCGGGGGTTTGCCTGGATTCCACTCTGATGAGAAACAGATCATATCAGGAAATGGTTGAAATGCCCGAATTCCTGTAATGAGCAGCATTCTCGGTTCATTAGGGACCACCTGAGCCGTCAGACTCAGACCTGTCATGCAGGTACACCTCAGCCTGGCGTTGTCTTGTGTTTTAGGAAGTTGAGCTTTTCAAGAGAACTCTTCTTAGGCAGGTTATATCCCACAATATAAAGAATCAGACCTGGATATCCATCACTGCCATTTAAAACTATTCTTTCTGTTTTTCTAAACTTTATAAATGGGAATTGCTCTGTTTATGTATGAAGAAAAAACTAATTATTACAGTAATAATGTTTACAGAAGTAAAAAATAGGCAGCAAAGCTTAGTTTTGTATTTCATTTTAATTTTTTTTCTTTTTAGCTTATTTGTTGGTCTGGACTTGTCATCCCAGTAAGTTTTGCCATCGTTTAAATTGCCTACTCTTACAGCATTCTCTGTGGATGCTTGCTAATTCTGACTGGTAAAGATGTAGACTTTTACTTGTGCAGAATGGCTTCCCACATCGCAGCCTTGAAGTGAGCTTTTAAAAGCCGAACGCTCCAACTTGGCATGGATTTCCAAGCATCTGCTGTAACTCCAGGCATATCTTTATTTATTTTATTTTTTTGATTCCTGGATAAAATAGGTTTGCGTTGCTCCAGTTTCTTAAGTCTTACTTCTTCAGAGAGAAACACTACAGAAGAGCCGCAGCAGATCTGAGTCCTTCCACAGTTCGCAGGATCCTCCGTTAATGCGTTCATCAGTCTCTGCGTTTCATGCGTTTGTCACACTCTAAGCCCTGTTTTTCTTTGTCAGATTTAAAGGCTAGAGTTTTGGCCGTGTTGCGGCCTCGGAGGTTTTGGCTGGTTTCCACCGTGTGAGAGGGATTTACACCGGCCGACAACAGACAGCCTTATCCCAGCTGTCATTAGGCGAGAGGCGGGGGACGCCCGGGCCAGGGCCACACAGAGACAAGCAACCACACACACGCACACTCCGTCCTCTAGTCACCGGGCTATCCCCACAGGTTTTTGGAGAGAACCCTGTAGAGGCACAGGGCGAAACTCCACACAGGGATTCGAACCGGGAAGCCTTTTCTGAGGGTTCCCAGAGCAAACTTATCTGGAGCCCCGCTATATCTCTCCATTGTTTCCACAACAGCACCCTGCACGCGGAGTTAAGAGACGGGCTTGGCAGGCTGTTTGCGGTGCTGACAGGGACCGGGCGATTCGCCTCAGTGGAGTGTGGAGGGATCTGTCAGAGTCAGGCTGACCTCCATGCCAAGAGCTCCCAGAGCTCCGAGCTCAGCCCCCCCCCGCCCTGCATTCCTCGCCGGACTAACTTGAATGCATCATCCCCTCATAGATATATGATTTGACCTTGTATTCTATCTATACATTTACTTTAGTTTCTCTACTTTGAAGCAGCTTTGGAGTCGGTTGATTTAAAAAAAATCGCCTTAATTCAGAGCGTTTGAGTGGGCGCTCTTTGTGCGGGGCCCATGTGCTGGCAGGCATCCCGTTTAATGAGGTGTCGCCGACAGCTGCCAGTAAACCCCTCAGAGCCCCCGTACCAGTGCTTTTTTTTTTTTCTTCTTGCAGCTGACTCCGGCGCCTGACCTCCAGGCAGGGAGGCAGAAAACAGCTGAATTCCCCCCGAGGCGGCCGATAGGGCGTCGGCCCGGAGAGCCCCTCGGTCAAGGCGCCACTTGCGCGAGGCCCGAACAGCTTTAAAACTAGAAAACTCCATGAAAAGGACAGCTCCAATCGGCTGATTCGGAAGCGGTTCGGTCCAAAACATGCGGAATGCCCACGCATTTCCTTAGGCCGCGCTCGGCTGCAGTCAGCCGGTTCTTCCAGTTCTGGCATGCTTTATGGTGAAAGCAGAACCATTCATTACTCCTTCAATGTGACGCAACGAGGCCTCGAATTTGCATCCGTTTTCACCGCTCACACCTCCCGTTAACTATATCGACGGAAAAATTGAATTTCCGATTCGCAAGCTTGGACTTTCATCATTGTTTCGATCATTAGAACTCATTATGAAGACGCTTGCATCTGAGTCCTAAGAGAGCCTGACATGTAGAGTACTGTTTGGGCCTTTTCTGATGTAGATAAAAACTAGAGAGGAATGGGATGAAAGGGAATCCAGAATTAGATGTGGTGGAAAAGAGGAGAGAGCAGCTAGGAAGAAAAGAAAGAAAGAAAAGATAAAAGAAAAGAAATAAAATCAGAGGTTCTCGATTGTATGGGCATGGTGCAAGAACCAAAAAGGGCAAATAGATAGGACACATTCGAGGGTTATAAGTGAGCCGGACTGAGAGGAAAACGATCAGCTTCTGCTTCGGCGGGGGGACGCGGAAGCAAGTGCTCGGAGAGATGAGAGACGGGATCAAAGACAGCAGAGCGCCGTCAACAGGAGGCGTCAGACGGGTTTTTTTTGGGGGGGGGGAGATGTGGATGTTGGCTCTCTCCCGCCACCAAAACCAGCCTGTGCCGAGTCACCGCTTTCACGTGCCAGAGCCAGCCTCACGCGGTGAATGGGGAAGCACAGAAACGGGAACAATTAGCCGAATTCGTAAACAGAGCCATTCGTCACCGCCGGGTCAAGAAATGCCCCCAAAATTTCCATCCTGATCAAAACTTTGCCCGACTCTGGGATGGGAGGCTCTCCCGCCGAGCGCAAAGACCTCCACACGAGAGCCTGTACGAGTTCAGAGGGAGGATTAAAGAATCAGTGTCAGACAATCAGAAATCCTTTGATATCTTTACCTTTCACAGAACAATCAAACGCATGTCGGTGTCAGCAGAGGACACACGCAGTGATGTCGTGTTTCCAGAGATAGCCCTGTAAATTTGGGGTTTTCGAGTCGCTTTTTAGGGGGTCTGGTCAGGTGGGTGTCATAGACGAGGGAAAGGTGTGTGTTTTGAATTTCCCGGAGGGTTGTTTGGTCAATTAGCAGATATTTTTGCAGAAACAAATCTCAAAATTGGGTAATTCTGGCTTAAAATGGCTTGCCAGCTCAGCAGATTTCCTGTCGATCTCCGCTTCATTGCGATCCGCGGGCCTCGTTTTCATCATAGACTCGGAGAAATCCCACTGATGCATGTTTAACATCGGCCAAGTGCGGCCCAGAATCACTCCTGTACATACGTCAGAGAAATGCTGCTGCGGTGGGAAGAAGAGGCAGAAATCTGGCTCTTTTGCTCCGGGGCAGATGTTGCTTCTCCCGCTCTAAAGAGTCTTGGCAAAATTCTGGGTGTCGGGTTCCGTTTAATGCAGGGTCCCTGCTTAACAGTCCGGGGCAATTACTGCCATTTGGGACGGCCTGTAATTTGGGCGTCCGTCCGTGGGTGGGCCACCGTGACCGAACGCGTCCGCTTCCAGCGGCCTTCCAGCGGGAGCCCATGAGCTCATCCGCGCCTCAAACTGACTTCCCTTTCCACTCTCTGCTCCTCTCCGCAGTTTCGGCAAGCAGCTGGGGGGCAGACGAGGCTGTGAATGCATCACTTTGGAGCCTTCAGAAATGATTGTGGTGAGTATGGCCCGTCTCAGATCCAGCCCGCCTTTGTCCTCACACCTCACTTTTATCCTGCTGCCCCTCTCTTCTCAGGCCTTTGATAATAGTCCGGTTTCCCATCCCTCATTTGATGTGTGGATGACTCTTTTTTTTCTTTTTTTTTTTCTTTACCCTATCCTGCCTTTTATCTTGCTCCCTTTTCTTCTTTCTGTTCTCCCTGTAAGTGATTCATCTTAAATGGGGGGAACAATTTTGCACTTTTTAAACACACTGTTTGTTTTGCAGGTATGTGTTCCACATATTCATATGTAATAACAGTCTAATAACATGGTTGTGCTAACCCGGCTTGCTAAAGCAACCCCAGCCTTAAGCTGATTGTCTCTGTTTGAGATGAAGACCAATCTGTGTCCTATACTAGCATATTTAATGTGCAAATACAGTTAAGAACAGTAGCACGAGTGAAAGCAGACACATGGAGATGGTTTCTCCATTGATGAAAGGGTTCCCATCGAAGGCGGGCTGGAAAAAGTGTTTGAACTTAAAACCCTGCCGCCCTTTTTTTGATCCGATTGGTTGAAGCCAGCCGCCTCTCTGAGGGGTTACCGTATGTGATCCTCACTCCTCGCTCTTTCGTTGTAATCCCCGTTGCGTTGGCGCATTGATCTGGTTTATGGGCACCCTTAGCCAGCAGAGTTACGCGTTTTTACCCACACAAGCAGAGAAAAAAAACAGAGTTGTACTTAGACGTGGGTCCCTTTGACTGGAATTCCAGGCATTTTTGTCCCCCTTCTTTTTGGAGCTGTAGGATTGATTTGTACCTTTCTTTTGTGCGTCAAAACCAGAGTAGCCTCATCTAACGGAGATGAAACAATGAGGCATTGTGTGAGCGCAGACTGGCCCAGCAGCTGCGGCACCTGGAGCCCGACTGTGTAATTACATCTTCATTCAGCTCCACATTTTGGAGATGAGTCCGAGTTCCTGTTTGCCATCATGAGGTCCCCCTCCCCGAAAGACTCTCCTGCCGTGCTGGTTTCCTCCGGATAAACCCGAAAGAAACCACGCAAAATGCTAAAATCAAAGACGGTTTTTATTAACGGAGCGCTTTTCCACAGATTTGGTCTTTTTGAGAAACTCAGAGATCTGTGATGGTGCTAAAAACAGAAATGTGATGAGACCCCACCGTCATTGGACAGTGTTAGTGACATAGTGACTGTGGTTAAAGCTCAAGCAATAATGTGCAAGATTTTAATGTAAACGGATGTCATTTATGCCCCCTCTGGCTTTTTGGTGGTACACAATAATACCAATGTTCATATTTGATGCCTATAATATGCTTTCTAGTGCACATTAGCAGGAAGTTATACTTCCACTAAAGCTGGGAAAAAATTTGGAACAATGCTGATATTCAGCTAACGGACAGCTTTATCAGTTAAAAATGTAAAATAGTAGTTTAACTTTAAAATGAATCAGTTTTGTGTCACGGTTTCCTTTAGGCGGAAGCAGGAAGTCTCTCACTGATCACCCGTAAACGGTGATGTGTTCATTGTTAATTAGTAAGCTGGTTGGTGTTTTTTCATTCCCCGTTTCCCGACTTATTCCGATCTTTTCCGTGCAGCATTCCATTCCATTTTCAGCAAGAAAATGAACACTCCATTTTGGACCATGTAGGTCCTTTTCCAATATTGCTTCCCGAGCAGTTCCCAATTAATGAGCCGTTAACGGGAGCCAGAGGGTGAAGAGAGGGGAAAAATAACGCTTTAACCTCGCCGTGGAAATGGCAGATGTGTGTTCATACCGGGAAACGCAGCCCCACCGTCATCCACTAGACGCAGTAACTAGAATTCTCTTACTATCCGCCGTCGGGCTGGTCTGAGAGTCATGCTTCCACCACCTCTGATTTACCCGCGGCGTCTCTTTTTATCTGCTCTGCCTTTGCGCTAGTTTTGGAAGCCCGTTATCTTGTGACAGGGCATGGCCACGGCTCGCTCGCTCGCACTGTGCACAAAGGGCACCGCGGCGTCTCGTCAGCCTTGAGGCTCGTCGGAGTTTACCGCAGCGAAACAGTTTTATAGCGGCGAGGTGCTCACTCAGCAAGGCACCTAATCCCCCACCAGCCCCCTGGGTCCGCTCAGAGGCCGGAGAAGGCCGCGAAGCAGCTGACTGTCCCAAAGGTAGGAGAGCGGGAGTTTGAAAGAGGCCTCTGTCCACTCGGGTTCCTGGAAAGCAGAAGATAAAGCAGGCACGATCAAAGAAAGAACACTTTGTTGATGAAATTAGGAATGAAATTAGTTTCACCTCAACTTTTCTACTAAAAGAAACAAACAATGGAGTCTGTGTGTGTGTGTGTGTGTGTGTGTGTTGTTCTGGAGAAGCAGCTTGCTGCAGTGAAGGGTGGAAGGAAGAGCAGAGACAGAATGAATCGGCTAATCAGAGCCTCCGGGGAGCGGTTTTTTTCCTCGTCCGCACGTATGGAAATGATTCATCACAATATGTGTAGTTTTTTTTGTTGTTGTTTAAATATCTTGTAGAGGAAGTTGCTACCTGTGCGCGTCCTGTTCTTATCTTTCATTGGCCCGTAAAGGTCCCACCGCTGTGGAACAGGAAGGAAACCACAAGGACAACCGGCGTCACATTTCAATCCGCTCCGTTTCAGCCACCCTCAAAGGAGAGTTGCAGAAGTTGGAGCTTTGTTTCCCCTCATCTGTTATGCATGTATTCATATTCATTAAGATCATGGATCATTTTTATCATTAGTCTTAACGCCGGGTAAAGATCCGAGGCCGAGATAGCCGCCGCTTCAGTCGATAAGGAGGAATTAATTCACAGCTTTGGTGAATTGATCATAGGTTTATTAGCCCCGCTTCATCAATTCAGCCCTTTATATTTCAGGTTCTGATTGGGAACGCTGAGTCGGGTTTTTTAATAGGCCTTAGCAAGGTACGATGCCTTCACAGAAAGGCATTCGGGGGGGGGGGGGGGGGGGTGGAGAGGGGAAGAGGGGGGGGGGGGGGGGGGGGGGGGGGGGCACCACGGGAATAGAAGAGGGGCGGCCATCGTCATGACTGGTCACAGGATGGACAGAGGGACAGGGAGGGGTTGTTTGCACGTGTCCTGGGAGTGTTAGGAAAAGAATACCAAAGAGCAAGGAGAGGAGATGAAGTAAAAAAGCTGAATCAAAACCATAAAAAAGGAAACCCATCAGATGGAGAGGAATGTAAACCGACAGATGAGTCAACGTGGACTTCATCCCTCTGTTATTTAAATCTACAGGAAACGGGAAATGTCGTCATTCTGTTGCAGTGACTGGTGGTGGTCATGAGATATTGGGGGGGGGGGGCATTCAGTGTGGAGACCCACATGGCACTCTCAAAGTGAGTAAAAAAAAGAAAGAGATGAAAGCATGACTCCTTTCCAGCTTTCCCTCCAGAATGTCTTGTCTGCCACCTCTAAGCTGTCCGTCTCCAGAGGCTCATTAAAACGAGGCAAGATGGCATTTTTTTATTTATTTATTTATTTTTTGCTGCGAAAGGGATACATCAATACCTATACTTGCCACTTTTACAACTGTAATTTTGTATTTTATAGCTGCCCTATCCTTCATTCTGTTTAAGAGGCCGCCGCCATCCCAATGGCCCTCTGTGCGGCGATTAGTCGGCGCAATAAGGAAACTCTAACAGACTCATCTCAGCTGGTATACTCAGCTCTTATTGCCTTTTTTTATGACCCGTTTTTTTTATTTATTCTAATTTGACGTAGACTTAGACTTGACTTTATTCATCCCTTGGGTTGACTCCAGGGAAATTCAAGTTCCTAACACAAGACAGAAGCAGCACACAAAAAAGGGCAATAAAAGAGGGAAAAAAAGCTCAAATACAAAATTCGAGACAGAATTACAAAATTCTGTACAAATTCTAAACTTAACTTATCGAAATATGAAATAATAATAAAAGAAAAAATAACTAAAAGAGTCAAACTCGTAACAAAATCTTGGAGTGAAAGTGACCAGTGGCATTGAAATAGACTTTTTAGATAGATAGATACTTTGTTTTATAACAAATGAGCTCTAGGATGTTTATGAAATCCTCAACATTTGACAGCTTTTGATACGTTCCTATCACTGCTCGCAGCCCGTCATGAGTCTCTTTTGCATAAGATGCCCAATCACACATGACTGACCTGAGGGGGCAAAAAAAACGCACCGCGATCCCCGACAATGACTCCGTTTGTGGTGCTTGCACTGTGACGAACTCTTACTCGGCCGTTTTAATTACTCTACAGTCACATTGCAGGCTCAAGGGGAAAAGAACCCGGACCGGGATTCCATGAAGTCGAGCATTCCTCCTTTTTACGCCCTAACGCTGCCCATGCGTTCCCAGAATAAAAGCCGGCCGAAGCAGTAACGGGTCAAAGCGTGAGAGCTTCTGAAGCCTCCACAGATCCAAATGATAAAGATACTGAGAAGATGGAGGAAGGAGCTAAAGCCTTTCTTTCTCACGTTGTCTTTCCATCAGATTTTGTAGCAGCCTCGTCAAATTTGGGCTCGGTTTATATATTTTTTCTTTAGACAAGTTTCAAACACACTCTTCTTCCATCATTAGGCTAATATCTTTATGTTAAAAAACTATTGGACCAAAGTGGAGCAATGCAGCCTCTTAAGCTGCTTTCTTATTCGCCGTTTGGACCATAGTATAAAAGAACAGTTCTTTCAGTCGTATTACGTGTCAACAGGGATTTATTTATTTGTTTCACCCCCAAAAAGAAGAAAACAATGGGGTCGGCGCTGACATAACACAGGCATTAACTTATTTAGCGTTATGCAACCAAAAACTAGGTGAGTTCCTCCAGAAACAACAGGCCGGGAACCAATTGTATGGCCGGAATCTGTGTGCCGTGCTGTGTTCTCTCTCTCTCTCTCTCTTTTTTTTTTCTTCTTCTGCCTGCAGAGGATATTTGTGTATTTACGGCTTCCTGGAGGAAACTGTGGGCAGAGTGTATGCTCTGTGCGTGTGTCAGACGACAACGGAGCTCCAGCGAGCGAGCATGTGAGCCGGCCTGTCAGCAGGCAGCATGTCGAGCGGCTGAATTCCATCTTAGAACTCCCCCCCCCCAACCCGCCGCCCGGTTTGCCGCGTCTGGGGCACAAAAAAAAACTAAAACGAAGCGGCTGCCTCATTGCCGGCCCACTTGTTTGGCTCCTCTGGTCGGATTCTTGTTGTTTCTTTGTGTT